GGACTCAGTCTGATGTTCCCGTGGTTCTGTTGGACTCACCCATCTTGGGGAACACGATGTGGTACTCGGTGCCACACTGCGGGCAGCTGACCGAGCCGCCGCTGTTGCCCTTCTGCTTCTCGTCCAGCCAGCGCTGCAGACACGCCTGGTGGATCCACTTGGTGCAGCCTTTACAGCGGCAGGGACTGACCCACTCGGCGCTGTGGTCGTCCCGCTCGGTGGCGAAACAGACCCAGCAGTGCCTGAACACATCACGATGAACATAAAGACAGTTAATGCTGCTGGAGGATGTAGAACGAACACTCTGGACTTTAACATCCTGGCAGCTGTCTGCTTTTATCGACATTTACTAGAACATCAGCAACATGGTGTTATTCTGCTAATATACTAAATATTTCCACTCATGACAGAATTTGTGCGACACTGTGTTTCCTGTAATCAGTACTTGTGTATATCTTGGTTTATTTTTTTATTTTGGTCGTACCTGTCCTCAACATTTGCACCATCTTTGCTGCTGTAACCTCACAAATGTCCCACTGTGGGACGAATAAAGGCAAAGTGTTTATAAATGACTCATGAATGATCATTAATTAGGACTAATTAATCCAGACAATCTGTAGCTCCAACCTGAACATGAACTGAGCCGCAGAAAGTAAAATAATGTTAGAAATTTTTTTTTAAGTGTCTGAAATATACTTAAAAGTTTAGTTTTAGTATAAATGTGTGAAATAAATTTTACAATATCTAAAAAAATTAAAATAAAAATGGGTTAAATATATTTTTAAAATGCCTTTAAATAATAAAATATGTGAAAAAGATTTTTAAATGTAAGAAAATAAATGTCCTAATTAAATACATTTTTTAAATATTTTAAAATTCATTACATTAAGATCTGAAAAATATGAAAATTAATTAAATGTCTGACACATTTTTTTAAAGTTTTTTTTAAATTAAAAATACAAACATACAAATACAAAAATATTTAATAAATGTCAAAAAATTCTAAAAAAAATACACATTAATAATATCTCTGTGAAATATTAAGAAAATGTCTGATAAACATATTTGTAAATCCCTGAAAAGGTTTTAAAAAAACGTTCCTAAAATACTCATGAAAAGCTAAATATGAAATAAACAGCTGCAGACGTCTGTTCTGTCCACATCTTTCCACAACAAACTTTTCTTTACTTGTTCGTTATTTAAACCTGCTGAGATGGAAATCAGTGGATTCATAATGAATAAATCTGGACTTTAAGTCTGTAGCTGAGAACAACAAACACACACATATTTATATTATGAAAGTGTTTTTAAGTGTGAAGTGAGTTAATGTGTGTTTGTTCTTACTTCTCGGGCGTCTCCTCAGCGAGAGCCATGACGCTAAAGACGAAGATCAGACGTCTGAGACGATGAACCCATCAGACTGTGAAGAAAAACAGATTTACACTCTGATTTATAGAAACACCTGCAGACGCTGATTTACATCCTGATTTTATAATAAAAGTAAATGAAGTCCTGAAAAACAACAAAATGTCTGAAAAAATGTTATTCAAGTATCTAAAAAATATCTGAATTAAATCGTGAATTAAAATGTTGAAAAATTAGAAAAAAATGTTAATAAAAGAGTAAAAACATATTCATGAAAAGTCTGAATTTATTTTTTTTAAGTTGGTCTGAAAAAAATGTTTCTGAATATCTGAAAAAATATTACTGAAAGTTTTTTTAATGTTTTAAATTTCAGGAAAATGTTGATAAAAATGGATAAAAAAAAAAAACTTATAAAATGTCTAAATGATTTTCAAAAGACATTTTGGTTTGAAATATTTAAAAATAATTTATAAAAATCAATTTAAAAATACTTTTTAATGTCAGAAAATTGTTGATAAAAGCCAGAAAAACGTTAAAATGTCAGAAAAATATTTATAAAATGTCAAAAAGAGAGTTTTCTTTATATATGAAAAACAATTAAATGTAAAGTTTTATTAATCATATGAAAAATCTTAAATATCTGAACCACATTTCTGAATCAGAGTTCTGTAAATCTGGTTCACGTGTTTGTTTTCGTCAGTCTGAGTCTGTTTCACATCTCAAACTAATCAATTAAAACAGAACTCAGTCGAACAATAAGAGTCATTTTTAAGCGAGGAGCAGAAGCACAAGAAAAACAAACTCAGTAAAGTCCAGAAGCTCAGATTTGTTCTTCACTAATCGTACTCGCTGGCTGCAGTCAAACCAGAGCAGTGACACTAAACTCATCCTCAGATCCCAAAGTCAGCAGCTAAACGTGACGCAGCAGCTCGATTCCTACAAACTGAAAGCAATAGTAAAAGTGTTTCTGCTAAATGAAGCAGCTTGGAAACTAAAAACTAAAATTAGAATTCACCAGAACACAAAATTAACACAAAAACTGACCTAAAAATGGAAGATTTAAACGGGAACTGCTTCAAAATCATCAAACGAGAACTCATGTAAAAAACCCAAATTACCAGAAGAACCCACCTAAAAATATTACACTTAATATGAGAACTAACCTAATCACAGAAAAATCACACGAGACTCGTCCAGAGACATGAAAACAACACCTAAAACAATAAAACTAACATGAGAACTCAACAAAAAACATAAAAATCAAGATGAGAGCTCAAATAAAGACATAAAAATTAAAGGAGATCTCACCTAAAGACACCAAATTAACACCAGAAATCATCCAAAAACACCAAACTAACACGAGAGCTCAGCGAGGATTACATAAATCCACAAAAAAACACCAAACTGTGCTGAAAATGTTCTTTCCAGCTACTTTAACCTGTAAAACTAACTGCATTTGTCATAATTCGTACATACATCGTATGTATTTGATCCAGACGTTTATAAACTGGACTTTGCAGCATTAACAGGCAGTTTTTGGCACATCGCCGCCATCTTTGTTTTGAATCTCAAAACTTAAGAAACGAGTTAAAAATCGGCTTTTACCTTTCAGCACACGTGTCGTTTATTCAACCGTGATTAGGGGAATTTTTACGGATCTAAGAGACACATTTTAAACCCCTGTTTGTGTTTCTAAATGCTGGTTTTAGTCAGTAGTCGCTGCTGCTGTCAGAAGACCCAGCGGTTAGCTCGGCGGCTAACACAACTTCAGCTAGCCGAGTTTACAGCGGAATACAAACGGCGGCTGAGCTCCGTTAACGGGTGATTTAGCTGACCTTGGTGAATGTCAGTCCACAGAACACCGGTGTGAAAGTACCGCTGGTATGAAAACGCCTCCTACCTGACGATAAACAGTGTTTTTACTGTTAAAGACGTCCGTAGCGCTGCATTGATTTCCACTCTTTCGGTTCTGTTGACTCTCTGAACGGGATGACAAGCCCCGCCCAGTCGGGCTTTCGGCTGCTCTCTGATTGGTGGAAAGCGGTGACGGACTGTGCTGCGTTCACGTTGTGTCAGAAAGATGGGACATTTCCCCTTTTTCTTTCGTCTTTTTTTTTTTTAAATCAATGAACACGACTATTTCTGCATTTATCTTTTTTGTTTGTTGTGTTTTTCTCTCTAAATCTGTCATTGTCATGCTGTTTTTTGTCAGTCGTTTGTAAAACACTTTGAATAGTATTTAATTAGTTTTAAAATTGCCTTATAAATAAAATTTAAATGATTTGATGAACCGATTTCCACCTGCAGACTATAGGTAGTGTATTGATATTAAAACCTGCAGACTATAGCTGCAGATGTGGCAATCACAACTTTTTATTTATGATCTATTACCAATACCAACCTAAAAACACCTTATTAACAATTTATTAATGTCGTGACTTGCTCATTAAAATACTTAACTAATGATTTATTAGCACTTATACCAGCAGGCGTGGTAATAAAAGCACTTTGTCGCATTTGAACCTGGTGATTCAGACTCTTTGCTGACAATTTGATAGTTAAACTTGCAGACTTGATCATTCAAATACTTTATAAAGGATTTATTGACATTTAGGTGTAGACGTGGTGAGTAAATCAATTTATTGAGGACTTATTAACATGTAAACATGCAGATTATGACGCTTCAACTATCTGTTATTAACGTATTAACATTAATTACTGCAGATTTTTTGACTAAAACTTTATTGGCAATTTGCTTCCATTGATACATTCAGATTTGATCAGTAAAACTCTTTATAAATGTTTATTATGAAACCTAAATAATGGCTTTGTACCTTCTCTGCTTGTTATAATTTATAACGGTTAATTATCTATTTATCTTTCTGTAAAGCTTTACACGTTAATGAACTCCCTTTAAAATGAGGTTACGGATGAGAATAACCCAGTAAAGTCAAACTGGGCGCCATTATTCCCACAGACAGATGCTGCTGTTTCCACTGGTTTCAGGATGCTGCTGCTGCCGTTGACACACAGACGCATGGCCTTTCTGTCCAACACTCTGATTGGTCCTTCCCGCTGTCACTCAGACCATACCTCGCTGTGATTGGTCGGCTCCTGCGCCAGTCACGGCGCGGTGATGTGGTTGTCGTTGAGGGGAGGCGGGCCGACCGTCAGCGGCAGCAGCACAGCGCAGCGGCGGCGTCGACTCGGCGGAGCGCACGGTGACAGGGCGTTATCTGCTGTACATGTTAAAAACACTACACCGGGAGGAAGACGCGCACGGATCGGTAGACGCATATCACCAACTCTCAGTCCGTCATGGAGTCCTATGACATTCTAGCTAATCAGCCGGTGGTGATCGATAATGTAAGTATGATGATGTCATTCATCCACACCCAAACCGAGGCCGCGGCTAACGGCTAGCTCCGGTGACCATTGTGTTGGAGCTCACCGGAGACGAGGTTACCGCCTGGGTTAAACATGCAGCCGCTGCTACCGTCACCGGGCGGTGTGTGAACCATGCTAACGGTCCTCCTGTTGTTTTTATCTGCTGCATATTTAATGCAGCTCCGAGCTAACGCTAGCTAACGCTGCAGCTAGCCGCCAGGGCGACCGGCTAGCTAAGCTCCGGTTTGATATCAACCGTTACGGATCCTCACCGTGTCCATAATGCTAATCAGCTAGCATCATAATGCTAATCAGCTAGCGTAGCCGAGCTGTCAGCAGACTCATCCTGTTAGCTTCACCCAGCAGCAGACTCACCGATGTTGGCATTGCGGGGAAACAAAGTCAGCTGATACCGTTTCACTGTGTGATCGATATGTTGTGTTGCTCCAGAGTTCATCCTCAGAGCAGCGGCTTCATCTGCACTTATTACCCAAAGCAGTGGCTCGTTTTAGTAAACAGCCATTCATTCATCTTCCAAAAATGCTGCTTTTTGTCTTAATTTGTGGGAAAAAACTGAATATTTTTGCATTTCGGGCAGCTTCAGGGAGGAAACTGTGATTAACAAAACAACACCCTAAACAGTAATATGGAGATTAATCACTGATGAGGATCACTGTTGATCTATAAGCGTGTGAACTGCAGGCAGCTTCTGGGCGTTTTCTTGCCCCTGGCACAGATTTATTTAAAGTCCTGCACCTCTGTAAAAACCTGAAATGTCTCCTGTGCAGGACGACACAGTTAAAACAACAGAAACCAGAAAGAAAACACACAAACAGAAGCTGAATTAATTGGATTGTTAGTGTCAATATGTGGAACATTCATTTGTTAAACAAAAAAATGTAAAAGACCTGAAATCAACACGTCCAGCATGTTTTCAGATGTCCACAGGTGTTAAGAAGACGCCACATACTGAAGATATTTGACAAAAATGACTCACATTTTGTACAAATAACCTAAAATCTGCCTACAGTGACTGAAAACTTGTCAAAAAACAGTTGAAACTTGTTCATAACAACATTAAGTGTCAGTAATGACTGAAACTTTGCTCATTGGTCTTAATTTGACTTAAAATCGGTCCTAAATGAATTAAAATCTGCCCAGAAGGATTCAAAACTTCACTTGGAGCTTGTCCAGGATTACTCAGAAGTCCTGACACAGTTAGAAGCTGAATGTCTTTGATTATTTGTGTTATAAAAATGTAAAAACCAGGAGTCAGAATCAGAACCAGGAGGGAGGAGTTTATAGTTTGTTTGTTTTTTTACAGAATTCTTATGCAGAAGTGACGATTCTTTCTATTTTTGATGATAAATTTGATCATTTTTGCAGCTTTTTTCAAAGACAACATGTGTTTTAAACCTGCTGTGACGGGTTTTGGGCTTCAGAGGGTTAAATATGAAAACTAGTTCAACACGTACAAACTCACAGCTGTCGGATTCAGTGATCCTGTCTAGATAATATGGAGCACCATGTTAGGACGCAGTTATTTGAGTTTCGTATAACCGTGGAGCTAAAATTCCTCCTAGAAGTCGAATAATCTCAGAGTTTGTGTAACATCAGGAAACACTTCCAGGAGCTGCTGCCCTGTACCTGCGTCTCCCTGAATGTTCCTGAGGAGGAGGTTGTTTTATGTTTAAAATAATCATCGCTGCTCCTGGAGTTCTGAAGGGCGTCTTGAAGCTGTTGTTGCCGGTTGATCCTGACATTTTTAAACATTTGTGGCTGCGATAAGGTCGACGTGTTCTGATTCTGGAGAGAATAATCAGGAGGCAGCTCCAGAGATCTGACAGGAGATAAAGTGATGCTTCGTCGTCCACGTTCAGGAGGAGCTGCAGCACCTTTAGTTGTTCCTCCCCGTGGTTTGATTGGGTCAGCTCACAGCTCGGTGTCGTACAGAGAGCTAATCTGAGTAACAGAGAACACAGCGGACCCGTCGGCGGTTCTGGTGGCTGAAGACAAAGTGTCTGTTGAGGATGCCGAGCACAGTGTGACTGCTGCAGGCTGCGTCTCATGACCGCCGTCCTTCTCACATTGATGCTCTTATTTCAGCTCCGGTCCTGTGATGCTGAGCTCAAATGTCATATCTGTGTTTCCTGCAGGGTTCAGGGGTCATCAAGGCCGGGTTCGCAGGAGACCAGATCCCCAAATACTGCTTCCCCAACTAGTAAGTGTCCTCCAACCTCCACCTCCACAGGACGTTACACTCTGTGGTGCTGAAACTGTGGAAGAACACGACTTTTAACGAGCCAAAGCTACGAATCAGAGCGTTTGTTCTGTGTGTTTTGTACAATAGAAGGTCAGTGACAGTTGTGCGTATTTTGATGTGTGTGTCTGTGTGTGTGCAGCGTGGGGCGTCCCAAACATGTCCGAGTGATGGCCGGAGCGCTGGAGGGAGATCTGTTCATCGGACCCAAAGCAGAGGTAAAAACAAACCTTCATGGTGTGTTTGGTCTGTTGGCTTCAGCTCCTGGTGTGTTTCAGCCTTCATCACATTCTAGCTACTGAGTCAAAACAAAGACGTCTGAGCAGTTTTCTCCTTTTTTTCTGTCGTCGAAGCCTTTTGGCCGACGGCTGCTTCCATATTTGTGTGCGGTTACCATGGTTACGGGTGTTATTCTGGTCTGTGGCGAGTTTAATGGAAAAGGCTCTGCAGTGAGACGTCAGACTCCAGCGTCTGTCCGTCCTGCTCACCTAGCATTAGCATTAGCATTAGCATTAGCAGCTAGCTGTTATGACTGGAGTGTAAGCTTTGACATGAATGTGAAATAAGCCGTTTGTGTCTTTGTGGTCGCTTTACGTCTCTTTTCTGTTTCATTTTGTTCATCTTGTGTCTTTTTGCGGTTGTTTTTTGTCCCATTTTGGTTGTTGTGTGTCTCATGTTGTACATTTAGTCTCTGGATGGTCGTTTGACGTCAGTTTGTGGTTGTTTTGTTCCACATTTGGGACATTTTGTGTCTGATTTTAGTCATTTTCCATCTTTTTTCTGCCATTTTGTCTCTGTTGTGGTAATTTTTTTTGGTGATTTTGTTTCTTATTTTGTTCACTTTTGTGTCTCTTTGTGCACATTTTGCAAATCTTTAGACACGTCCTGTAAACAGTAAATAAGTTGTTTGGCATTTTGTCTGTTCCTGATCACTTTAGGCCTCTTTCCGTCTTACATTGTTCATCTTGTGTCTCTTTGTGGTTGTTTTTGGTTCCATTTATGTCCTTTTGTGCCACATTTGGGGCGTTTTGTGTCTGTTGTTTGGTGATTTTGCTTCTCTTTGTTGATGATTTGTCCCATTTTGGTCATCTTGTGTCCCATATTGTTAATTTTATGTCTCTTTGTGGTCAGTTTTCACGTCATCCTGCTTGTTTTTGTCTCATTTTGGTCATTTTATGTCACAAATTGCGAAGTTTACACTCAACTTTTTGAACAAACTACAATTTTGAGTTGAATCTGAGTAAACGTTAAGTATTTTGTTGGTATTTTGTGTGTTTGTGGTCCTATTTTCTGTCTCGTTTTGCTAATTTTGTGTCGCTTTGTGATCATTTTATAAATATCAATTGTTGTTTTTGTCCCATTTCTGTCATTTTGTACCAGTTTGGGGATGTTTTGGGTTTGATTTAGGTGATTGTCGTTGGTCTCTTTGTGGTTATTTTTGTACTGTTTTGGTCTTTTTGTGTTAGACTATTTGTTTGTAAAGTTTACACTGAACTGTTTGAGCAAAGCGGCGCCACACTGAGGACTTTGTTGTCTGTTAGTTTGTAAAGTGAACATTCAGTAAACGTTGTCTATTTGTGATCATCTCACGTCTTGTTGGTCTCATATTGTTGGTTTTGTGTCTCTTTGTGGAGAATTTTTATGTCCTTGTGGTTGTTTTTGTCCCATTTTAGAGAATATGAATGAAAACTTAGGATCTTTTGAGATCTTCATAGTAACACGACGTGCATCATGTCTGACTTTGGACTCGTTTCTGACAAACATCAGGAGTTTGGCATCACATCTGCTCATCGCGCACCTTTAGTGGAGCAGATTCTCCTTCATGTCGGCCATTAAAACGATGTTTTGACGTCAGAAACTCGTCATGGCTGCAGGTTTACACACAGAGACGTGTTGGTGATGTAGAAGCAGGCCGAGCTGTGAGCTGATGTTTTAAATGTTGGTTTTATTGTGTGACTGAGGCTTTACTTCTACATGTGCACGCTGCTCATACAGACCTGAGCCTCACTGGCCTGTCAGTCAGTGACGGTTGTGGTTTTATTGGAGGTAAAGAGCAGTAGATACATGATTCCTCCGTCAGATCACATAACGGCCTCCTGGCTAACGCGAGCTCATCAGGTATCATGTGAGTCTTCTTCCAGCAGCATGTGAGCCACAGAGACATGAACGTGGTGAAGACGTGAATGTGTTGTGTGTCTGTGTGGACCAGGAGCACCGGGGCTTGTTGTCGGTGAGGTACCCGATGGAGCACGGCATCGTGAAGGACTGGAACGACATGGAGAGGATCTGGCAGTACGTCTACTCCAAGGAGCAGCTGCAGACCTTCTCCGAGGAGGTGAGCTCCTCCCCAGACGTTTAGCGGACGTGACGTGGGAGCTCCAGCAATCCTGATCCGTGTGTTTTCTGATCCCTGCAGCATCCGGTGCTGCTGACCGAGGCTCCTCTGAACCCCAGTAAGAACAGGGAGAAGGCTGCAGAGGTCTTCTTTGAGACCTTCAACGTGCCGGCGCTCTTCATCTCCATGCAGGCGGTGCTCAGCTTGTAAGAACTTCCTGTTTTTGATGTTCTACAGTCCAGCTTTCAGCCAAAACACACCTCAGGAGCTGCAAACTCAGTCAGCGGTTCTACTTTAGTGACAATGTTCAGGCTAAAAACGTTCATGTGTCCATAAAACATGTTAAATAATTCTATGATAATGCTTTAAAAACACACAACAGCTTCAATATTTATACACAACGTGACAGCACAGACCTTAAATACTCTAAACACCTGAACTCACTCAGAGTTTTAAAGGTTTTAAACGTGTTTTGAGGAATTAAAGGCTCTCGTCTAACAGCTTTACATGTAGTTTACAGTGAATGAAAACGGATCAGTGTCTGAACAAACAAATGAGATGAAGAGAAATAATGTTTCAGTGAAGTCACATTTTAAACAAACCAAAGAGCTTTTCAGTGAAGAAACAAGGTTGATGTTTTAAATTCACCTCAAGTTCAAACATTAAGATTAAGATCCAATAATTTTATACACAAAAAGCCAAAAGCATCAGAAGAGTCCCAGTGAAGCTGAAAGAACTGTTCTTCCTGTTTGGAGCGACACTGTGGATGAATTTTCCTGAACTAAATATCAGAAATTATCTCTAATGAGCAGAAGTGTTTCTCAAAATGACTCAAAACTTCGTCAAAATTATCGACCTAAAATCTGTCCAAGATTTACTCAAAATGACCTCAAGTCATTAAAATACGTCCACAATTACAAATAAAAGTCTCAGAACTAATTATAATTTGTCCTAAATGACTTGAAACTTGTCTGAGATTATTTAAACATATTAAAACTTGTGCCAGATATCAGCACCGGACAAGAATCTGTTGTGCTGAGGAACGTGGAAATTTGGTTTTATAGTGAATGTTGTGCAAATGATTTAATTTTTGGTAAATTTCTGAATGATACATAAAATGATTCTGATGAAATCTCACAATGTTAAGAGTAGATTTAGTGAATTTTCCTGATAAAAGCTGCACGTCTAGCATCATTTATTCAATGACATTCAGAAAGTTGACAGAAAACTTTGTTTTTTTATGGGCTGTCTTTAGTGCAAGCACTTCATTTTTTTCAAATTGTTTAAATCAGATTTGTAGAATAAAGCAAGTTTAATAAAATAACACAATAATGAGCTTTTTTTTAAGTTAAATTTTCAACGTCACTGATTTTCGGTACAAAGGAGTCTGAAAATCCAGCGATTCTTCCTGTTTTTATGATCTCTGTGTGTTTGTTGGTGATATTTTTAAACCTGCTGCTGGTTTGTGGTTCAGACGTTGAAGACTTAAATAATAAAATAATTAAATAAGGACTTTAAACAATGATTAAACTAAGTGATGAAGCTGAGATGCTGCAGATCCTCTGGAGGAACAGTGAAGCTCCACTGCTGCTGTAGTTCTGCTCTCTGCCTGCAGAGGGCAGCGCTGCACCATAACTGAAAGAGCATGAATCAGAACACGAGTTCTGGACCGACAGCGCTGGACTTCAGTTTGCTGCTGCAGCGTTAGATGTGTGTCGGTTCTGACCTCTCACATCCAGACGGTCCGGTTCCAGGTGCTGACTCTGACCTTTGTGATGCAGGTACGCGACGGGACGGACCACCGGCGTGGTGCTGGACTCAGGCGACGGCGTGACCCACGTGGTGCCGATCTACGAGGGCTTCGCCATCCCGCACTCCATCATGCGGGTCGACATCGCCGGCCGAGACGTGTCCAGATACCTGCGGCTGCTGCTGCGCAAGGAGGGCTACAACTTCAACACGTCGGCCGAGTTCGAGGTGGTCCGCACCGTCAAGGAGGTGAGGGCCGCGACGCAAACACAGAGAGACACAACACGACAACAGAGAGACACAACACGACAACAGAGGGACACAACACGACAACAGAGAGACAAAACGAATACAAATATAAACTAAACAACAACAAAGGGACGCAGGATGACACAGATAGACACAACACGACAACAGAGAGACGCAACACGACAACAGAGGGATGCAAAATGACAACAAATATATACACAACAACAAAAAGATGTAGGACGAACACTAATATACACAAAATGAGCTTAAAGAGACCCAAGACGACCAGAAGGAGACAGAAAACAACAACAAACATACACAAAACAACAACAAAGAGATGCAAAACAAATACAAATATATACACAAAACATCTACAAAGACACAAATGACTGTGAAGAGACACAGCCTGAGCTTAGAGAGAAGCAAAATGACAACAAACAACACAAAGACCAGTGTTGTGTTGCTGCTGAACTCTCAGTGATTCCTTGTTAACCGGTGAACTTGTGGCTGACTGTGTGACGTCTGCCTGCAGAGAGCCTGCTATCTGTCTCTGAACCCACAAAAGGACGAGACCCTAGAAACAGAGAAGGCCCAGTACGTCCTGCCCGATGGAAGCACTTTAAATGTGAGTCCAGTTCCGCTCCCATCAGTTTAAACCGGATCAGAGCCGGTTCATCAGAGTATTAAACCCAGTCTTCTCCCTCCAGATCGGCCCGGCCCGGTTCAGAGCCCCGGAGCTGCTGTTCAGACCCGACCTGATCGGAGACGAGAGCTCGGGGATCCACGAGGTTCTGGCCTACGCCATCCAGAAGTCCGACATGGACCTGCGGCGCACACTGTTCTCCACCATCGTGCTGTGTGGAGGCTCCACGCTGATCAAAGGTCGGTGAGGCGGGCCTGGAGCAGAACGTCGAGGTTCTGCTCAGAGCTTCTCCCCATGCCGGGATTCTCTGGTACCAGCTGGTCTGGACCCGATTCACAGTGAATAGAACTAGTTAGGGTTAGTTAAAGGTGTGTAAGTTAATATCAGCAGATGGACGGTCAGCGGTCTGGAGACGTAACATCTGATGTGTTCCTGCATAAAGAACCAGGAGTGCAGGAGTTGCTACGATTTCAGTCCAAGAATCAGTCGTGCTGAGACGTGTTTTTAAGTCTTTACAGAGTCCAGTTCATGCAGATGGATGTTTCACAGAACCACAGAAGGATTCTGCTCTTAGGCCCAGATTTGGTTGATTTTGTTCCTGATTTTTAGTTCAAGTAAAGTTTAAAATCCAATGATTCCTTCTTCTTCTTTTACAATCTCTGGCTGATCAACTGGTTCTGGTGGTTTCAGACCTGCTGGTTCAGAAGCTCAGTTTGACCCACTGCAGCTCCAGAACCTGAAAATCCTCCGTTATGTAAATTGTCTTCAGTGTTAAAGTGAATAAAACATCATGTGAAAGGCGTGTTAGTGACGTTATGGTGTGTTTGCTGTCAGGCTTTGGGGAGAGGCTACTAACCGAAGTCAAGAAACTGGCACCCAAAGACGTGAAGATCAAGGTGAGTCCAGACGGAGGTTCTGGTTCCTGTAGAGTCACTTCAGTGGAGTTTTATTCACCTGCAGAGGATGAAGATAACTAATATTATATCAACAGGTGGTGAAGCTGAATCTCAGTCAAGTTTGATAAAGTTTGTGAAGAAAATGTCTCCTGAGGTTTTTTAAACGTTTAAACAAATCTGTGAATGAAAATAAGACGACGGATAGAATCAGCAAATCCACACCTGAATAAAAACCCTGGATGTATTTAAAGGCTCTAATTTATCGGCTGTTGACTAAATTATGATTTAAATATGAACTTTTTTGAAATCATTTTAAACCTGATTTTGTTCAGTTTCTCTTCAGCTGCACTCAGTTTCATCAGGTTCTGTCTTAAACCAGCAGCAGCAGTTCAACCTGAGCTGTGTTTGGTTCTGTTGGACGTGTTTTCTCTGTAGAGATGAGTTCTGTGACCCGAGGTTTTCTCTTTGTTCCCTCGTAGATCTCTGCTCCTCAGGAGAGGCTCTACTCCACATGGATCGGGTAAGAATCCAGATTTACAACCACATGAACGCGTCTGAAAATACATTTGCACTTTTATAAATACATGATGGAGCTCTGAAAGGCGTCTCCTGCCACAGAAACACCCGACTGGTTCTTCTAGACACTAGTTTTTATTTAAATATCCATAATAATGAGCCTGTAGCTGCTCGTTGGAGCTCTAAGTCCGTTAATAAGAGACAACCTGCCGTCAAATCAACGAGTTAACGAGTCCGCTTTAGCTGGAAACTCTAAACTTGTCTCCGAGTCAGTCATGGAGAGAAGTTTTAAATCTATTCTGAGTGTCATCAGAGCAACAGGCTTCTGTTTGATGAAGTATGTAGAATAAAGTGTTTTTGGTCAAATATTCTGATAAGTTTAGACACGACTGTACCTGACTCATGATGCGTTCAAGGACCGTGGGAAACGGGAGAATCTGGAGAATAAATGGTGTCGTTTCAGCCATTTTTAAGAGAAAACATCTTATTTTGTAAACGTATTTATGACCACGTGTTTATTTATTCAGACCAGATGGTGTTTAGATGATTTGTGAACATCATGGTTTATTCATAATGACTGAAAACGTGCAGCATGATGAAGAAATATAAAAATCTGAAGTTGAAATATTAAAAATGAAACAGAAAATATTCCACATTAAATATTGTGCATGAAGTTTACTCATGATAAAGAAATATTACAGATTAAATTAAAGTTTGAAACTCAAATTAAAAACATTAATTATTAAACTTCATAAATATTTAAAATGATGTTGACATGAAAGTCTGAGACGTGATCCTGAACCTGAAGCTGCTGAATCTGGTCTGTGTCGATGCTTCATGATGACTGACGGTGTCTCCTCCTCCTCCTCCTCCTCCAGCGGCTCCATCCTGGCATCGTTGGACACCTTCAAGAAGATGTGGGTGTCGAAGCGAGAATACGAAGAAGACAGAGCTCGTGCCATCCACAGGAAGACCTTCTAGTCCCGCAGAGCCCCAGACCTGCCCTCCAACGCCCCCCGTCGTACTGCTGGAGACGTCTCCTCCTCCTCCTCCTCCACCCACCGCTTCTCCACCACCGGAGCTCACCTGCTCAGGTGCAGTGTCCACGTTTCCTCCTCCTCCTCCTCGTCCATTAGCTGCAGGCGTCCGAGGCGTCCGAGGGCAGATCAGCACCGTGGACTCTGGTTCCTGTTCATTTAGTCCAGCTGTGGCGCCGCTGTCTGGCCTCCGAAGCCCCGCCAGGTTCAGAATATCATGAAATGTCAAGAAACCTGAATGTTCTTTTGTTTATCTCGTTGAAATTTCCATTCCAGACCGAAGATTTTTATTTGATGTCTCTTTTGTAGGCTTTTTTTTTTTTGCGTTAGCCGGACGACGGTGTGAGCGCTAGTCGATGAGATCACCTCTGTATTATATCAACTGCACAGCTTCTCTCTCTGCGGTTAAGTTATCATCCGAACTGAAGCCACCTCTTACTGTTTTTCTGTCATTACTGCGATGAAACCACGTGTTTGTGTCGACAGGAAAATGTTTTTTGTCAGCGTTTTGTCTCAGCTGACGGGATTAAAACCACCTGTAAGAAACGCCTCGATTTACTTCTGTTTTCTAAACCCACGGCGGTTCTGGTTCTGGCTCTGCCTCGGTCCGACTCTGCACTCAGTGTTCACAGCATTCAAACCCACACAGATCTACAGAAGCACCACAGAACCCCTGAAACCCTTTGGCTTTGGTCCCACAGCAGGCTGCCTGTAGACAGATCTGACGTTCAGTCGTTTTAAATCCATAAATCAGCTCAGCGTTGTCGTTGTTTTGTGGTTTTAAAGTCCACAAATCGACTGAGCTGCAGCGATTCATCTGTTATTTGCTCATTTTGAATCATTTTCTACTTAAAAACTCTAAATTCTCTGATTGCAGCGTCTTAAAGTTGAATATTTTCTGGTTTCTTTCGTCCTCTGTGACAGAAAACTGAATAATTTCGGGTTGTGGATTAAACGAGACGTTTGAAGACGTCGTTTTTGGCTTCAGTCGACACTCGTCTGATGTTTTATAGACCAAACAACCAATTGATTTATCAGGACAACACTTAAATGATCAAGTGACAATGAAAATACTCATTGTTTGGCCTGTTTTTCTGTATTTCGAGGGATTTTTTTGCCACAGAAACAGGTTTTGATCAGAATCGAGCGTTCAAAACAGCTTTTTGTTGGTTGCAGTAGTTTAATTAATTCAGAATTAGACATTTGTGATTATTAAATGGTCAGAAACAAGTCGTCTGTACGTGGTTTAATCAGGTTCACTGCAGTGTCTGGTTTATTTGTTGATGTGATTCTGCTCAGAAGACAGAAACGACCTGTTTCCTGTAAATTCATCCTCCAGACTTGAACGTTTTCCAACATCCTGCTGGAACAAAGTTTGTTAAAAATGGTTCTCAAAGTCGGAACAAGTTTACGGAACGTTACCTGGTTGGTTGTTGTAATGTTTTAATTAAATTAATGTCAAATATTCAACGTTTTTCTCTCGATTACAAAACTAAAGCAAACTTTTCTTTCTCTTTTTCTTCTGTAAAGTTTTAGAAAAACCTCCCAGAGTCTTCAAAATCCAAAGAGGTTCAGATCAAAGCCAGTTTTTTAACTTATTTTATCAGGAATCTGTTTATAAAAACCAAAAACGACACTAATGATCTGAAACATGCTGAACTTCAGACCTCATGTTGATCGTAGGAGGAAAATTTTGCATTTATTAGACGCTGATCTGTCCGTTGTTTTCTTCTTTCTCTGATAATTTAGCGCTTAAAATTTGGAAAACTGATCAACAAGTCTCTAAATGAGGCATCTTGAGATAACCAGCTGTCCAAAAACCCCAAAATATTCAGTTTACTGTCATTTATGGCAAAGAAAATAGAACATCTCTCCATTAAAGAAGGTAGAAGCTGTGATTTTCTGTCAAAGCACATCAGTTTTCTGTTTGTCTTCACCGTGAAAAGCCACAGTTAGCTAACCTAGCCCTAAGATGGAGATGTGCTAAGCTAACCAGCTGTCGAAACCCCCCAAAATATTCAATTTACTGTCATCTATGGAAAAGCAAAACTGTATAAAAAGTTAAACGCTGTTTTTCTGTCAAAGCACATCAGTTTTCTGTTTGTGTTCACCATGAAAGTCTGCAGTTAGCTAACCTAGCCCTAAGATGGAGGCGTGCTAAGCTAACCAAGTGTCCAAAAAAAACCCCAAAATATTCAGTTTACTGTCATTTATGGCAAAGTAAAACTGCACAAAAGAAGTTAAAACCTGTTATTTTCTGTCAAAACACAACAAATTTCCTCAGTTTTCATCTTGAAAAGCAGCTGTTAGCTGCAGATGCTAACTCAGAGGCTAATTCTGCCGTTTGCTGTCCTCCGATCAGTGTTTTTGCTTTTTGCTGACATTTCCTGAAACCACAACTGAGTGCAAAGTTTCCATGAAGCAGAATCAGGTTCAATAATCCTGGATTCTTCCTGTAAATGTCTCATCAGCTCGTAGATCGTAGCCGCCACTCGTCCGTCTCAAGCTCGGCTGCATGTTCGGTTAGCGGTGAACAGAAACCACGACTCTGGCTTAGAGGCTGACGATCAGATTTTGTAATATTCCCTCCTTCCTCCTCCTCCTCCTCCTCCTTCTCCTCCTCCTCCTCCATGTCCTCGTAAACAGTTTTCAGATCCCCCTGCATCTCCGGGGCAGTGAAGGCATCGTGTTGCCTTCAGTGTCCACGTCGTCGTCCTGCTTCTGGGTGTTTTTAAAAAAGATCAAACGAGAAAAAAAAAAACAAAACAAGAAATAAAGGTTGTGAAACGTCTCGGGCCTTGTGTACAGCGGAATGCTTTCCAGAAAACAACCACCGGATCATCGATAACAGACTAAAAATGTACAAAACTGTTTATTCAAGTGTTTGCTTTTACTTTTCGTAAATTCAGTATAATAAATAAGTTAATGGCTGCTGCTCGGACGTCTCGTCATTGATTGGTCTGCTGGTTTCACAGGAAGAACGAAGCTTTCTGACACTTTATTGAGTTAAAAAAAATACTTGGACATCAAACATGTGATTCTACATTTAAACATGAGATACTTGAACAAGATGGCAACCAAAAAACACATTTTTTTAACCATTTATTCAACAAAAACATCAATAAACGTAATATTCTTCTGTGGATAAAGTGACCACATCTTCAGCATTAAAGGTTTGTATCGTCTCCTGGAGCAGAAATAACTTCAAGAACATTTTTTACTTCATACGTCCTTCAGTTGCAGATGTTTGAGGGTTTTCTCCATTTAAACGGGATTCTAGTCTGGATCATTTCAAACAAAACCAACTAAATCTGATTAAAGTTCCTCCAGAACCTCCTCAGAACTGCTGGTTCTGATTCTGCAGAACCTTTATCTACTGACCAGAGTTCTACCTTCAGACTGTGAATGTTCCAGAGGTCCAGGTCCTTGAAGTCCACAGAGGAGGGTCCAGATTGATCACTTTAATGGACTTTTTCCATCATTTCTGAGCCTCAGAACTTCATCAGAACAGCAGATAGACACATGACATTTAGGAGGAAGAACACATCTGGGTTCTGCTAGAACCTGACACCAGATCAGTTCTACATCCATCCAGGTGTCTCAGTCTGAACACTGGACCTGGTTCTGGTCATTCTTTCTTTCATCCAGCAGGATTCTTCTGATCAGTGGGACATTAGGCCCATATTAGGGTCCATCTACAACTTGTGTCGACCCGACCGTCCAGCCCGACCTCCTCCCTCATCTAAACACTGAATCGGGTTTTGGTTCAGTTTCGTTCCACAAGTTGGAATCTCTTAAAATATGACAGTGTTACAACATGATTCATGCTCAGAGTGGATCCTGTCTACAGATGGTTCTGGTAGGTTCTGGAGGTAAACCGGTCCTTCCATCGTCTAGAACTGGTTCTGACCCACCACCATCACACATGCTGGTATGAGCCTGGAACGTTTACCCAGAATGCACTTTGTAAAGTTTCCTCTGGTGACTGATCAGAACCAGAACCACATCCAGGGTACCAGTGATGGTTCCTATGACTCTATGTCATAGACATTAACCTGGTACCACGGTGAGACATCCCATAATACTGATGCTACCAGTGGGTTATACAAAAAATGGGGAAAATGGTCAAAAATGACTTTTAATTTGTACAGAATTATTCAAAGTCTGTTCAGGATGAAATGAAAATGTTTCTACATTATTTTAAAGTGTTCAGTCTTTTCCAAAATGGGCCAAACTGACAAAATTATGTCAACAATGACTTAAAAATGGACCAAAATGGCTTCAAATGGGTCCAGAAGTACTCACGAATGTCTCTCAAATGAACTATATATATTTTTAAAAATAACATGACATTTTATTAGAATAAATCTTTTTTTTTTGACTCACATTTGTCCAAATGATTCAAAATGTTTCCAAAATTAAAGAAAAATGGTGCTCAACAAAATGTGTTAATTAAAAACTGATCTGGTGTCAGGTTCTAGCAGAACCCAGATGTGTTCTTCCTCCTAAATGTCATGTGTCTATCTGCTGGACTGATGAAGTTCTGAGGCTCAGAAAAGGTCCATTAAAGTGATCAATCTGGACCCTCCTCTGTGGACCTCTGGAACATTCTCAGTCTGAAGGTAGAACTCTGGTCAGTAGACAAAGGTTCTGCAGAACCAGAACCAGATGTTCTGAGGAGGTTCTGGAGGAACTTTAATCACATTTATTTGATTTTGTTCTGTCTGACTCATGAATGAAGATGCAGTTTGTTTGCTGACCAGCAGGTGTCAGTCTGACACCAGTTGATTCTGTTCACTGCAACAATAATCATCATGAACTTTATTCTTTGAGCTTTTTTCACTCATTTCCTCTGATAATTCTTCTTCTTCTTCTGTCATTAATATTCATCTTCAGCCTCTTTTCTGTTCAGATGATATTTTCTCTGTTTCCTTCGTCACGGTTCTTTTGATTCGTAGAGTTTCTGCGTTCTTCAGGATTTCACCAGAAAAGTCTCGACTGAACAAAACCACAGAATAAGTGGATTTCTGTGACACGTTACAGAACTAATCCAGATCAGTTTGGCAGGAAGAAGAAGCTTCATTCCTCTGAAAAACACCAGGATTGTATCAGACACATGTTGATTTTATATCCAGAGAGGATCAATAATGAATCTGATGGATGTCTGGTATCTGCTTCAGCTAAAGAAGTAACGTCTGACAAACAAAATAAACCAAGAATGTACAATTATCAACAAGATTTGATAAATAAACGATTCAAAGCATCAAAAAGAATTCTACATTTTGATAATATTAGAGATATTATTCAGGAACACAGCAGTATCATAGCAGCACATGATGATACCACCTCCGTGTTTTCATCTTTTAAATCACTTCTTAAAACCTCTTTTATAGATTTGCTTT